TATTTATACAGGATGATATTCGTGTGATATTACTAGTTCTGATATTCATATAATATTCATATTCGTATAATACTATTATTCATATATTCATATATTACTATTATAACAGGGAATAGTTCTCATTTCTTTAAGATGGGGCCAAATTAACAGTGACTTTAACAAGATAGTTTATTTCTCTGTCATGTGGAGAGAGACTGTCCCAGCACAAGAAGGCCAGGGAAAATATTTCAACTCCAAGGTTTCTGGAATCCTTGTTTCCTCTATATTTTTGCTCTGCTATTCAAAGGTTTTTGTTCTTCCTTAAAGTACAAGATGGCAAGCTACCATGTTCATATTCCAGGCAGCTGGAGGGAGGAAGAATAATAAAGGAAAAGGGAAGGTGAGGTATGTGCTTTTATTTTAAGTGTACAATCCTGAAGTGGTGCACATCACTGCTGCTAACATTCAGTGGTCAGAACTTAATTAGGTGGCCACAACAAACTGCAAGGGAGACTGAGAAATGTTGTTCCCCCCCTTTTTTTAAATGCTGCCATATACCCAACTGAAAATAAGGGATCCTATTACTGTGAAGTAGAAAGGAGAAATGAATATAGGAAAGCAACTAGCAGCCTCACCTTCTGATACATAATACAATCAATCAGCATACTTATCTTTGCAACAATGCCTCATAATTTCTATTTAATTTTACCGCACTTTGCCTTTCTCTTGAATTTCAGTAAATGATAAAGCACTTTATATTAATATCATATTTAATTGATTAAAAATGCACATTTTAAAACATATCGTATTTCTGAAATCAGATGTATATTAATATCAGATTTTAGAGATTCACGGCTCATATAAAGAGGAAATACAGATCTTAGTTTGTCACAAGAAAAAAAGGTTAAAGCAAAAAACCAAAAAATAAAACACAAAAAACAAAATAAACCCACCAATATTCCCAAAATATTGATATCCTCGAATTTAGAAAAATAGATGTCTGATCTTATGAGATCTGCTTGGCCTTTGAAGATAGTTGTCCATTTCCTTTGGGAACAAATGAGACCAAGTACAAAATGTATTCATGGTCATGTGACATGAGACTAGAAATAGTAGAAGTTGGCCATTCTTCAGTGCAGTGACAATGTGGAGGAAGAAAAAAACATTCTCATACATCATTCTTCAAAAGGGCCTATAAGTTCTGAACTATAAGTTCTGAATTCACAATGGTTCAATTATTCTTTTTCAGACCTACAAGTCTCAAGGGATAATTTCCACTGACATATGTTTCTAAGTTGTAATTCTTTATAACAATCATTAGGATGTGAGAAATTCAAAGTTATGGTGATACAAAAATGATAACTCAATTAATTGGGTAGTTATTTGCTTGTGTCTATAAAGTAAAACCTATGAAATCCCCTTACTCCTTTTAAGTCCTTATAATAGACTCAAAATGCCTTGATCTCAAAAGAAAATCATGATGCAATTTTTAAACTTTTACTTAGTTATTTCTATTCTATTAGTTATGAAATTCTTCGCCATATACCTACTCATTGTTCCCACCTCAAAGAAATCGAGGAACACATGTATAAATTTAAAGAATTTGTCTAAATTTTTATTTTAGAACTTTTAGTCCCAAATTAAAATTGTGTAAAAATGCAAAATCAAAACACTGATAAATTAAATGCTTATTAAAAAATTTAAATTAAGGGTGCATGTATACAATTGTAATGTGAGTGTGAATGTGAACTTAAGTGGCTTTGATTGGCTGTGATTTATGCCTTTCAAGCAACATAGGTTCCTTGAACTGATAAGCATTTGAGCACTGATTAATGACTGACCAGAAATTAACCTAAATGCAGTTCAAAACTATTATGTATATTCAGTCACAGTATATCTGAAAAATAACATTTGAGACAAATATACTGTCCTGTGTTTTCCTTAAGCATTTTATTATTACACCATATTGTGCGTTAAGATGAATTGGGTGGATGACATATGACATACGCCTCCCCTATTTTGGGAAAGAAGGAGAATTAGTGGTAAAATGACTCCCAAATCATCTGATTTTCAAAAAATTGCACATGATGAACTTTCTAGTATTCTAGTAATGCGGACACATATAATGGCTCTAATAAATTATTCCAAAAGAGTAAATTAACTAGTGTTGGCATCTACAGACTAAGTCTTCACAAATTTTACTAAAATATGAGGCTGATCAACTTGGTTGCGGGATCCTTAATGGCAATAACACTGCTGCTCCTTCTGTTACGGCTGTTATGGCAAAGGGGATAGTGATGCTTGAGTTTTATTGGCATTTAAAACCCATTATGATAATATATTATTTATATACGTGATTTGTAACTCCCTTAATGTTGGATGACTTTAACTGGGATTACCTGAATTTCTCTTCCTCTATCTCTATGTGAAGGACTCAAAAATACACATAATTTTGAACCTCGTGATTGTCACTGCAGTGCTAGAATAAATGAAACCATCTTAGTCATGCTGATTAATCAACTTTCAAAGTAAATAACCATTGTACCATTCAAAGTCACGATGTTCTCCTACCAAAAATGCACTTCTCATTAAACAAACAATGGGTAGAAGGGCCACTGAAAGTGCTTTTATTTAGGGATCTATGGTAAAGGGTACTAGTGCACATGTTAGAAGAAAATCTACTTCAAAGAATAATGTGAAGCTGAGTGGCTAATTAATAAAGTTAAAGATTTGGTAAATAATCTTTGAATCCACTTCAAAAATGTTAGTAATATTGGGAATCTATGAGCGTACTTTAAAAAGTTAATAAAGATTCATATTATCTTTCAATTCTATTTTTCCGCAAACTTTCTGAGGTACCCTCATATTTGCAGATTAAAGTATTCTACTGCTGTTGCATAGACTTGCAAACGGAAAACGTAAAGCAATCTTGTTCATCTTTGAATCTCACAGACAACCTAATAGAATACCTTCCATAGTGATAGCCATTCAATATATATGTTCATATATTAAGTCGAATACCTCACTTGAATAGTATATATTTTCCCTTAAGGGGGAAGCATGCAATTGTTTTAGACTAATTTTTCCCCACTTTTTGTTCTCAAGGGAGAATTCAAAAGGAATTAGGACTACAATTACTTCTTATGGTGCTTAGGAAAAGCTCAGAACCCTTTCCATCATTCATATGCTGGGCTTTACCTTAAACTGACAAAGTTGTGCATTTTAGAATGATTTAGAAGCTAGTATTTGGTTTCCAAACTTCACACGTTTTCCTCATTACCAGCCAATTCAAGACCCAGGAAACCAGTATTTGGTGTGTGATCACAAAGGGGCATGTGTGTCACTAGAGACATTTCAGAGGAGCTTATCTAATGTCACCACAGAGGACTCTAAGTCACACTATACTGGTCTTCCCCTCATGCTTTTAACAACGGTACACATTGCACGGTGTTCACCCCGTCCCTTCACTGATAATTCAGTGGGGCATGTGTGTCACTAGAGACATTTCAGAGGAGCTTATCTAATGTCACCACAGAGGACTCTAAGTCACACTATACTGGTCTTCCCCTAATGCTTTTAACAACGGTACACATTGCACGGTGTTCACCCCGTCCCTTCACTGATAATTCAGTTTCAGACACTCCTAGGAAATTAACACCTACTGAATAAATGGAAAAGACTCTCAGTTGTATTTATGCATTCACGAAATGTCTAAGTTCCAACGTCTGATAGGAGAAATTATGTGTCATTCCGCTCCAGGGTCCAAGCAGCAGCATCTCCCCAGGTTCTGCCAAGTGCAGACAGAAGCCTCTCTCGGCTCCTGTTGCCATGATCCGAGAATTCGAAAACCCTGCAGATATTCCATGTAAATCATGGTAGGTAAACGCTAAACTAAATCCATCTTCCTTTGTCTTGGACTCTGGGGCAGTGGTGGAGGTGGGGGATTCACTAAGTGTGCCCTCCTTTGCTCTTACCCAGCACGCAGGGTTGTCTGCCCTGAGCTTGGCGGACTCGTTGCCCTGGCTACCCTCACCCCATGAAGCCTCGCCAGGAGACCAAACACGACAGGGAAGGCAAAGGGAAGAAAACAAAACAAAACAAAACCCTACAGAAAGAATGGCAACCTTCCAGCCGGTTGCCGAAAATCCCGAAACCAGTGTTTGTCTCCCAGTGCAACAAGTGACCCTCACCAGGGACTCTTGAAACCACGCTGCCTGCAACTCCGGAGTCCATCTCGCCCGTGGGGGCAGGGCAGCAGGCTGGACAAACCAACTATTGAACGTGTGGTTAAAGTCTTTTCCCCAAGCGTGACCAAAACGGTGGCTCTGATTTGCTACCCCCACTCCCAAGCCTTGAGGAAAATGTCACCTGAGACTTCTTTCCATCTCCAGATTTCTGACGAGCGTTGTCCTTCTCCTTCCCACCCCATTTCCTTCCAAGTTTGCCGTAGAGCAGGGAGGATGCCTGTGAGTTGGGGGGTGTATGAGAGCGTGTTGTGTAGAAAGGATTTATAGCCTTTCCCCCCCTCTTTTCCACCTCCTCGATATGTTCCCTGAGCCTTAGGGGCTAATTAATAAAGTTAAAGATTTGGTAAATAATCTTTGAATCCACTTCAAAAATGTTAGTAATATTGGGAATCTATGAGCGTACTTTAAAAAGTTAATAAAGATTCATATTATCTTTCAATTCTATTTTTCCGCAAACTTTCTGAGGTACCCTCATATTTGCAGATTAAAGTATTCTACTGCTGTTGCATAGACAAGAAAAAAAGGTTAAAGCAAAAAACCAAAAAATAAAACACAAAAAACAAAATAAACCCACCAATATTCCCAAAATATTGATATCCTCGAATTTAGAAAAATAGATGTCTGATCTTATGAGATCTGCTTGGCCTTTGAAGATAGTTGTCCATTTCCTTTGGGAACAAATGAGACCAAGTACAAAATGTATTCATGGTCATGTGACATGAGACTAGAAATAGTAGAAGTTGGCCATTCTTCAGCGGAGCCCTCCCCGGTTACCTGTGCTGCCTCCGCCCTGGCTGCCCCTGTCCGGGGGGAAGATGCCCGAGCACTTCTCCCACTCCACCTGGCCAGCGAAGCACAGCTCGGTGACGATGTGCAGCGCCTTCTGGCACAGGCTGCTCACTCCGTCCTCCTTGTGGAAACTCATTGTTGGGCTTTTCTTGTCGTTTCCTTTTTCTTTTTCCCTCCCAGTGAGCCGTCCTTTCCCCTTCTCGTTACCTCTAGGCTGACCCCTCTGGCGCCCTAAGCCATCGTCCGCCCGCGGGGACTTGGGCCGGAGAGCGCGCTGCTAAGAGCCGGCAACTCTTAGGAGCCCCAAGTTGGCCCCATGGCGGGAGCGGAGGGCGCAGGGGAAGGCGGAGAGGCACGGGCGGCAGCCGAGCCAGGCGGCGGCGGCGGCGAGCTTTGCGCCAACTCTCCCGCCGCGCGAGCGAGCCGAGGCGAGCCGGAGCGAGAGACCCGGCATGGAGTGCGGAGGGGCGGGGGGGACGTAAAGAAGCAGAAGCCCTCGCCTCGCAAGGGCGCCCCCCTCCTCTTCCCGGCGCCTTTGTGTTTGTGGCGGGTGTCTGGCGGTGGCGCGTCCAATCGCANATGCTTTTAACAACGGTACACATTGCACGGTGTTCACCCCGTCCCTTCACTGATAATTCAGTTTCAGACACTCCTAGGAAATTAACACCTACTGAATAAATGGAAAAGACTCTCAGTTGTATTTATGCATTCACGAAATGTCTAAGTTCCAACGTCTGATAGGAGAAATTATGTGTCATTCCGCTCCAGGGTCCAAGCAGCAGCATCTCCCCAGGTTCTGCCAAGTGCAGACAGAAGCCTCTCTCGGCTCCTGTTGCCATGATCCGAGAATTCGAAAACCCTGCAGATATTCCATGTAAATCATGGTAGGTAAACGCTAAACTAAATCCATCTTCCTTTGTCTTGGACTCTGGGGCAGTGGTGGAGGTGGGGGATTCACTAAGTGTGCCCTCCTTTGCTCTTACCCAGCACGCAGGGTTGTCTGCCCTGAGCTTGGCGGACTCGTTGCCCTGGCTACCCTCACCCCATGAAGCCTCGCCAGGAGACCAAACACGACAGGGAAGGCAAAGGGAAGAAAACAAAACAAAACAAAACCCTACAGAAAGAATGGCAACCTTCCAGCCGGTTGCCGAAAATCCCGAAACCAGTGTTTGTCTCCCAGTGCAACAAGTGACCCTCACCAGGGACTCTTGAAACCACGCTGCCTGCAACTCCGGAGTCCATCTCGCCCGTGGGGGCAGGGCAGCAGGCTGGACAAACCAACTATTGAACGTGTGGTTAAAGTCTTTTCCCCAAGCGTGACCAAAACGGTGGCTCTGATTTGCTACCCCCACTCCCAAGCCTTGAGGAAAATGTCACCTGAGACTTCTTTCCATCTCCAGATTTCTGACGAGCGTTGTCCTTCTCCTTCCCACCCCATTTCCTTCCAAGTTTGCCGTAGAGCAGGGAGGATGCCTGTGAGTTGGGGGGTGTATGAGAGCGTGTTGTGTAGAAAGGATTTATAGCCTTTCCCCCCCTCTTTTCCACCTCCTCGATATGTTCCCTGAGCCTTAGGGGTCACCTCAAAAGTGGTATCAATAATCCCTGCTGGTTTGCCAACGTTGTCATGAAGCCCTAGAAAATCACACATATTAAAGGACTGTGGAAACTGTCAAGAGCTCCACAGGTTGCAACCGCGGGTACCCGTACGAGGATCCTTTCCGCGCTCGGAGGTTCGTGGCGTCCAAGAGTGGATTCTCTAGCCCGGCTTCTTCGCCAAGCCCGGGACCCGCGGGAC